AACCACTGCATCAACTATTTTAATTAAAGTAGTTGTCAATAAAATTTACAGCCTCAAATTAACTAAGAATTAGTATTTTATTGCATCTAATTATGTTGATTCATTTTACTACAAGAATTATTACAATGACTTTTGTATGCAGGAGTAGAATCCGCCAAATTTTGTGTCCGGATGAGAGAAGGTGTGGAACTTGTGATCATAAGAAGTAGGCCTAGTTTTGAGAGAAAAAAGAGTATAAATTAACTTGATTCCATAAACATCATACTCAATAAATATTAAAAAGAAAAAATAATTTCGATATTTCAATATTGAAAATACTTAAATTTGAATATATGAGGTTATTTACGATGACGCATAGCTATGTGTATATTAAATCAAATGTTAAATGTTAAAATGTTTAACCATCTTTTAAGGCTTTGATTCTATTTTTTTAAATCTTAAATAATGAAACAAATATGCTTACTTAAGGGTAAGTTTTGCAACATTCCCTTATATTCTTTTTTTTAAATCTTGTAGGCCTATACCTAAATGCTGCCATTTTAAATGGTAAATAAATTACCCTGGTATTCAAACTATGAGTGTGGACTGAAAGTAGGTTTGCCAAAATACTCAGTAGGGTCGCCGACAATTTATAAATAAAAAAAAAAAATACTGTACAGCATTTTAAAACTAGGTGACAAGATGTACCGTATCTGTGCACACGCAGGAAATCCTTGTTGGTCAATAAAATGCAACATCCTTTCTTGCTTTGTATATGTACAAATGCCACGTTTTTGGTGTAATTTGAACGATTCAATAGTAGAAAAATGTAAAGATAAACATGAAAGTGCACACTCGATCTTTGCAGTGTGCACTTGTTCTGCCAATTCTAGACAAATGCTTTGGCTTGGCAATAAAAAAATGGAAACGGTTGTCTTTGAAATTTATTTTGGCAAGTGTACAAACTCAGGGGTGGCCCGGGGGAAATTTATTTTTAAAAGGTTTGTCCATGGCATATAATTCGACACCAGGCCTAGTAATTTGCAGATTAGAAACTGTTAACAATAAGACAAAAATGCTGCCAACATCTGAATCCAAAACTGTATACAACAAACAAACAAACTGCTTTTAATATTACATATGTTATTGCGATGGAATTATGGAATACAATTATGATGTTTAACGTTACCAACTACGATCAATTGGCAATAAACATAAGTTGCGCGTTTTTATGAGCTGATCAAGCATGCTTCTGCATGTTATCGAAATGATCAATATTCAAAAAGAGAGCAGCAGGTTGATGTTATTTTTTCCCACAGCTATTTAGATGTGGCAAACCATTCCTTTAACTCTTCAGTAGATGAAAATGTGTATAACGGTTCTTGACTGTATTTTATGTAGGACCTAAAAAAATATAATAATTGTACATAAATAATCCACGCATCAGTTGCTGATGGAGAATAATGCCAGCGCCCTCTCATTACTAGTCAAAAACAAAAAATAAAAATAAATAAAAAAAAACAAAGAAAAAAACAAAAACAAAAAAAAAGTAATACTGAATTAAAGAGCAACTATCTTAACCACCCTACTGTAAAAGTTGGCTTGAATTTTGATCGCACGAATGATAGTGTCGGTTATTTTTTCATTATTACATTTCACTTGATGTCGGCAAATTAGCAAGTGTCAGCTAAAGTTTGAGTTTTCTAATTTTCAAATTAAGACAATTTTTAGGTCTGAGGGACCCTCCAGATATCTAGATGTGCTCTAAATATTTTTTTTTTAAATCCGCACCTCGCCCCAACTAAGGTGGAGTTGAGGTGGTTATGGAATCTCACGGCAGCTATGATAAGTCTCTCCATCACTCATTCATTATCAATCTTCATCATTGTCGTCGTCATCACCTCAACGTCCTATAATTATTTCATACATTTTCGCGTTTTTTAAATAAAAAAAAAGTAAGACAACTGTAAAATCAACCTCACTCATACAACGCGCACCTCTCTCCCCAGTCCAACATAAAACCCCGGATTTTTAGTGCTCTATTAGCTATAACTTTCACTTTGTCAGTCTATCGTCTATCTGCCAATAATTGTCTAAATAATTAAAACTGTTTATAAAGTAATCGATAAAGACCTACCAAAAGCATACATCATATGAGAGTTTATTTTAAAACTTAATACAATACAATCGATAACACCATGTCAAAGATACCATTGCCAGTTTTTATCAGCCCAAACGATAAATATAATTATGGCCTATTTAGGTTTCTTTCTCTTTAAAAGATCATAGTTACAATATTGGTACTTTTACTTCCATAAGTAACCATTACCGTATTCCGTTCCCCAAACCTACAGTAGGCTCCCAAATAATAATGTCCAATGGGAACATATATAGCCCTAGATTAACTTAGTACACATACGGTATACGGTACCGGTATGCAGGATATAATAATACATTAGTAATCAATATTCCTGCCTCGTAAACTAAGATACAAGATGTTGCCCGGCGGATCATTACTTTATATGAAAAATAATTAATTTTACAATTGTACAATCTCGATTTCAGAGATCGCGCCCGGAATGATGTTCGGCATGGATGGTATTTGTATGGATTATACTTCAGTAATATAGTGTAATTAATAATTCATATGGGTCGAAGTCTCGAACCAGGAACCCCCAGATACACCTTCACAATCAACTCAGAGTCGCCTCTCATCAGGTGGGGGGTAGGGTTCCCCTCAAAATTAAATACTTTTCCCAGCTCTTCTATTCTAATTATTGAATTTTGATAACTCCAGGTGGTTGGCCGATTGATCCATATGAACAGAAAGCTATGTTACATGAAATAATGAAAATTTAAATAGAATTTTCATGAGTTAAGAAATACATTAAATAAGGCTCTTAAAATCGCTACTTTATCGGGCTAAAGGCGTCCCAGGTCCTTATAGCATTGCTCACACAAAAAGGCCGTAGCTTTCCCCAGACCCCAATCAATGGGCCCAGGCTGTAAAGCTTCCCTGGTAACCACGGCCGCTCTCGGCGGTCCTGCATTCTACTATAATAATTCTTTAATGTGTCCAGATTGGAGGTAGTTCCACCAGTCTGTCCTGAAGGTTGGCAAAAACTTATATTCACTATCACTGCATCAACTGCTCTAAATAGAATAGTTTTCAATAAAATTTACAGCCTCAAATTAACTAGAAGTAGTACTAAACATTGCAACTAATTATGTTGGTTCATTATACTACAAGAATTCCTCCAATGGCTTTGGTATACACGGGTAGAAACCGCTAAACTTTGTGTCCGGATGAGAGAAGATGTGGAACTTGTGATCAAGAGGTAGTTCTGAAAGAAAAAAACAGTAAAAAGAAAATATTATAAATTCATATGTATCCATAAACATCATTCTATCAATAAACATTTTTTAAAAATAATAATTTTTTAAATAAATATTTTAGTACAACATTGGAAAATATAAATCTGGTATTATTTATTCTACAAAAATGTCATTGTAAATTAATAATAATAAGTGAACTGAATTGGGAGATTTTTAAAGGGTGAATAAAATATAAAATGAAATTCTAGAGGATTTTGGGTCATATTATGTACTGCAGGTAACTCTAGATTAAATCTCAATGTAATTAGCATTATAGAGTACCTGTGTTATTTCAATGACTCAATCTGTTAACAGTATACAAACACACATTAACATTCTCATTTCCTATTTTATTATATATACATTACTATGCATTTTATAATTTATCATGGCTCCTGCAGCTTTTATGTCCATAGAATATAAAACACACATGTTGTATTTAAATGAAGCAAATGTTGAGTAAACCAAGTTCATTCTATTCTACTGCTCCTTTAAAGATAAGCTTCGTATTTTATAGTAGCTTTTTGGCATAGGCACTACCATATTTGAATGGCTATGTATAAATTTATAATTATTTGACCAGTATTGAAATATAGTTAATGGTGCAATGGGGAAGCAGCAGTGTCGAGGTATCGCTTCACAAATACTTCTGGTTCATTTATAAAAAAAAAAAAAAAAAAAAAAAAAAAAACAGAATAAAAATCATGTTAATAAGAATCATCGATTTTCATTGATTTGTGTCGTGTGAAACAATAAACTGTGTTGCTTTAGTTATCATTAACATTAACAGCTGTGGTTCGAGTAATGGGTGAATCGACAGATTCCAAGAACCGAGAAGTCAGCCAATCATAGGCAGGGGAAATCTAGTAACCAGGATTATCATGACCGTACTATCTTGCACACAAATCCCAAAATTTACCAATTCCCCATTACCAATTCGTAATGAGCATAGTGTAACCTGAGACAACTATACACGTGTATAGTTGTCTCAGGTGTAACAAGTTTTTTTTGTTTTTTGTTTTTTTTTGTTTGTTTGTTTGTTTGTTTGGTTTTTTTTTTTTTTTGTTCTTTTACAAAAAAAATGTTTTGATTTATTCTTGTAATGAAATGATATGATTACATCTTTACCAGAATCAAATTAATGGATGCTGCACACCAGAGAGACATTATAACTATACCTAAGCTTTTGTAATTTGACTTTTGTCTTGTTTTATGTTTATAATCTTTATACAGTATTTTGTTATGTTACATAAGATATGGCCTTGCACAGCTTGATGAAAACCACCCTTGGCTAAATCAAGCGTATCCATGGAAATATAAATAAATGTCATTAAATTATGGAAGAAACAAATTTCAAACTCTTTCGTTAGTTAGTTCTCAAATACTGTGAATAACAGATCGATATTATTTCCTCTACGAAAACCACCCTTGGCTAAATCAAGCATATCCATGGAAATATAAATAAATGTCATTGCGAATAACAGATCGACATTATTTCCTCTACGAAAACCACCCTTGGCTAAATCAAGTGTATCAATGGAAATATAAATAAATGCCACATTATTGAAAGAAACAAATTTCAAACTCCTAGAACGGCGGTAGTTATCAAACACGGCGAATAACAGATCAATATTATTTCCTCAACGTAAGTAGTAGAGTTAATCTTTATTCACGAAGCACAGATTAGTAGAATACATGCTTTTCTTTCATGGCCATGAGAAAACCTTAAAATTGCGTTCATTGATAGCCCATTACATTATTAAAATCAAAAGTTACACATCCGAAATAAAATGAAAATATAACATAATCATTATATATACAAAGTTTGCAAAAAAAAAAAAAAAAAAAATTGTTTTCAGTGTATAAAGTATTATAATCATTTATGAAATGAGGGCACTAACAATGAGGTAATTAGGAGTACGAAAGTACTGCAAACTTGATTTTTTATATATATATTTCTTAATACAATATTTTTAGAAGATGACCCTTCAAGCTTTGCCCCGAAGTTCAGCTGAATTTCATGGGCCCTCTTAAAGAAATGCAATAATATATTTCTTCATAAACTGAGTCACATTACTTATGGGCTTAGGGAGTGGAGATATTTCTAGTCATGAGAATAAACCCTGCTCTGTCTAAGGATTTGAACCCAGTACCTGGGATTAGTAAGGCCAGAAACCTGTGTCACCAAGCTACATCGCCACCCTTAAAATGGAAAATAAGAATACACATCCTGAAAGTATATATGCTTCCTGGAGAATGAAATGTTGCAAAACATCTGGGGGCTTCAAATTGTAGTCACTGGATCATCAATAAACAAGCAAACAATACTACTCCCCCAGGTAGTTGTTTTACAAAGTAGCTAAAAAATTAGCTTGCTAACATTAAAACTTACCAATACCCACTTACATTCCTGAATATAATGAAAAATTGGCATCGATAAAGTGCTTTCTCCAAGAAAATTGCATGTGTCCAGAGTGGAAATAGAGCCCCAGTCTGACCTGAAGGTCAGGAAACTTTTCACAATAACTGCATCAACTACTTTAAATAAAATAGTTTTCAATAAATTTTACACCTCAAATTAACTACAAGTAGTATTTTAAACACTGCATCTATTATGTTGATTCATTTTACTAGTGGTGCCAAGAGGCCGAGGAAGATTGGTTACAACTTATTTTTTTTAATAAAATAAATATTATTAAACGCATACATCCATTCAGTATGAATAATTATTAAATGCTTAGACCCTGGACATCGTCAATATTCATACAAGTTAGAGAATACGAATTGACTTGATTGAGCTTCGAATGTCAAATTAATACTGAATTAATATATTAAACTTTAATTGCTTATGAATTTTTCAACTCTACGTTTGAATAAAAAGAAAGACAGCTTATACTTTCATGTTTCTATTCATGACCTGGTGAAATTAAACAATCTTATTGTTTAAATTAATCCTCTAGTCCATTAAAATACCATAGCTTCCCTCAGACCCCCAGCCAATTGGCCTGAGCTGTAAAGCTGCCCAGAATCCATGGCCACTCTCAGCGTCCCTGCATTTTTACAAGAATTCTCTAACGTGTCCGGAATGGAGGATAGTTCAGCAGTCTGAAGGTCGGGAAACTTATTAACAATCACTACATCAACTGCTCTAAATAGAATAATAATTTTCAATAAAATTTACGGCCTTAAATTAACTAGAAGTAGTATTTAAACATTGCATCAAATTATGTTGATTCATTTTACTACAAGAATTTCCCCAATGGCTTTGGTATACACGGGTAGAAACCGCCAAACTTTGTGTCCGGATGAGAGAAGGTGTGGAACTTGTGATCAAGAGGTAGTTCTGAAAGAAAAAACATTAAAAAAAAATATTATAAATTCATATGTATCCATAAACATCATACTATCAATAAATATATAAAACAAAAAACATTTTAAATAAATATTTTAGTACAATATTGGAAATATATATCTGGTATATTTTATTCTACAAAAATGACATTGTGAATTAATAATAATAACTGAACTGAATTGGGAGATTTTTAAAGGATGAATAAAATATAAAATGGAAGTCTAGAGGGCCGTGGGTCATATTATGTACTATACGTAACTCTAGATTAAATCTCAATGGAATTAGCATTATGTAGAATACCTGTGCACTCCTTAATTCAACGACTCAATCTGTTAACAGTATACAAACACACATTAACATTCTCAATTTCCATTTCATACATTACTATGCATTTTATAATTTATCATGGCTCCTGCAGCTTTTATGTCCACACAATATAAAACACACATGTTGTATTTAAAAACAGGAACCATGTATAAATGCATAATAAAAAAACAAATATGAAATAGAACCCAAGAATAGAATATAAATAATGTATGTATATATTGTATTTTACTGGGCACTGTGTGAATGAATGTGAATAAAAAACACAACTAAACTTCAAAAACAAGCAAAATTTCAACAATGAGAAGAATTATAATAACACACCTGAAATATAGTCAAGTTGAGGGAGAGCAAAGGTAGCATAGGTCTTGATGAACCAACCCCACAGGGTGTTCATAGCAACAAAACCCTCGTGGTCACTGTGGATACTTGCTCCTGTTGTTTTCTTGTCCACAAAAAACGATCCCCATTGCTCTGAAAGAATTATGTCACGCTCCAGTGCATTTGGCTCCTGTGAAATGAAATTAGACAAATGTAAATTTCAAATTCAAAGTAAGACATCAGCTGTAATATTCTTGTAGCTGCAGCTCTGAGTTATGAGGAAAGTTATCTCTCAAGCCCTACATGAGGAACTTGGATTTTCAGGCAACTAGGATGTTCAGGTATGGGGCCCTAGGAACCTGATAACTGTGTGGTAGCCAGTGGCGTAACAACCGCAGGTTTAACAGGTTCATTGAACCTGGACCACCGAACTCCAGGGACCCCCAATCATAAAACAATGTTTTATTGTGACATTGAACTACTGTATCTGCTTTCGGAGACCATGGGGGCCATTGTTGGTTCTAACTAAAATCACGTCCGCCGTAGTACATGCGAGCGATAATCAGGGCCGTCGGAACTGCACCGTTTCGCTTGACCACTTTTACTCAATCATATAACATAAATATGGATACCTATAAAATAATTATATGAATTTATTATTAATGTTCCCATCACATTGTCTTTTTATGTTACATATTTAAATAAAAATCCACCATGCGCTTGTAATTTTCGTAATTTAGATGATTTTAAAAATATTTAGAGGTATAAATATAAAATGACAATTAAATATTTATAAAATTTTGGGGGTTGGGAAAATAAGTAAAATTAAAATCGTACCAGTGCTAAGCACAGCGTATTGTACACCTGTTTATTCATAACATAAATTTTGATTTAATAGGTCTACATTATTTAGTACGTTATGTATTTCACAATACCCGTCAAAACGTATCAAATATAATCAGCCTATATACTCATTCATATTTTATTTATATAATGTGCTTGTGTTTCTTGCAGTTTATCTATTAATGGATGTATGAACATCTCAATTCATTTGGTTAATGCAGTGATAAAAGATTAAATTTTGATCAAGTTAGCATTTTGCAATAGACCTACATTGTTTTAAAATAGGCCTACGAATTGTCAGTTGGTCATGATTTTGAGTCGTGCTACTACCTCTGCAGATATAAAATTTTTCAACTGGCAAATAAGTACAGTAAAATTAAAATTGGACCAGCAGTATGTTACACGAAACTATATGGTATTCATTAATTTGTCGAGTTTTAAATATAATGATAGCATATTGCATCGTGTATTCATAACACATGTTTTATTTTGCATATTGTGTATAATTTCACGATACCCTGCAAGTTGTGTAATTATAGTAGGCAGTTATTCATTGCACAGTATATAATGTATTAAAATATGCACAGCGTATTGTACACCTGTGAATTCATAACACAAGATTTATTTAATTTAGGCCTTCATCATTTTATATGTTATGTATTTCACAATACCCGTCAACTAGCATAAATTAAAAAAAAACCAATAGTCATTATTATCTATTAATGGTGGTACAAACAAACAATTCATCTAGTTATGGCAGTGATAAGAGATTAAATTTTGAACAAGTTATCATTTTGCAATAGACCTACAGTGATATAATATATGCCTACGAATTGTCAATTGTTCATTATTTTGAGTATTCTATCTATGTCCAGAAATAACATTTTTAAGTTGGGTGCGTTTCTGGGCCCACTCTTTAGCATTATGTACAGGGTATTTTTGTGAGTATAGGCCTAATGTTTCTGAGTTATAAACAAAAGAACAGGATGCACTGAAAGTCAAACTTTTTTATAAAAATTTTTCCTGTGTGAGGGTCCCTCATGAACATTACACACACACACTCGACACACACTCGCTCTAGGGAGACCCAGTCAGCTATGGGGATCTCTTCGGTCTGCTGTGAACAAAAGAACACAACAAACATAACAAAGAAATGCGTTATCGAAGTTTTTAGGCCTGTACGGGCACTATCACTCCAATATATACAACATCTTTAAGCAAAGTTACAAGGCTGACCTGGAGGTCAAAGATACTTGATAGGTAGAGACCTCGCAAAAAAAAAATTTTTTTAATTTTTTTTTTTTTCGATTTTAAATAAGCAGAGAAAAGATTAGAAAACAATAAATAAACAAAAAAGAAAAACCCCAAAAAGAGGTGCAAATATTAACGTATTTCAACATCGAGTTTTAGAGATAATTTTTTACTGGTTTCTGTGTGATTTAAACGAAATTATTTAAAGTCTCGGATGAAAAAAAAGTTTATTAAATAATGTACTTTTTATCATTTTATTTAGTATTAGCATTTTTAAAATGAGACCATTTTAAAAGGTGTTTGGCTGCTATATTTATCGAATAAGTGTTTTGCATGATCACGGACATAGAGAGTCTAATGATGTCAGTGTTATTTTATTTATTTTTTTTATGTATACAAAAGTAATATAAAAGATAATTGTTGACATTGTTCAATAGTCCATCAGATAAATAAAAGAAACAAATTCAATAAATATCGAATGTGCTTTTTCTTTTGGTCATAAGAAGAGAAATGCTTATTATTATTATTATTATTTTCAGTCCAGCTCTCTGAGAATATCTAAAAATTAAAAACTAAAAAAATCAAAAAATTTATTGTCAAAATAGTATAAAAATCGGGACCACTGCTATTAAACTAACCCATCGGCAGTACATATCTTAGCTGACATTGTCAGTTAATTTGCATGCGTCAAGGGCCCCGACTGTACTTCTGAACCAGGGCCTCCTACAACCTAGTTTCGCCACTGGTTGTAGCACCACCCTTGGAGTACACCAGGAAACAATCCCCTGCACATTTTACAAAGACTGTACATGATTTCTTTAACATGTACATTTTTTTAAATTAATTATTTTGAAAGAATGTGGAATGTATAAACTGAATGTCTATTGCAAAAGTACAGTAATTAAGGTTAAAGAAAATGAAAAATCAAAACCAAAATCAAGTCTCTCTGACCAGTGGTTATCGAGATACAAACGTCCAAATCAACAGGTGGCCCTTTTGAAAAACGCCCCCAAAAGGGACTTTCCCCCAATATCTGGGAGGTATATAGGAGCTATATTTTATCTAAATTGGTCCATCTTGCCAAATCCATCGAGAAACAAAGGTATCCTAAAATTAGTCACGGATCTCATGAAAATGACTACTATATAAGGTCTGTAAAGTGGAGACAGTGATGTTAGGATTGCTGGGGTCAAAAGTTACATAAAGTTGAAGATCATTGGCATAAAAGTGGAATTAAATGCCATAATGCCTGATAATAGCACTGAGTGGACAAATGTAAACACTGAATAAACATGGCCCAATAACTGAACCTGGGCACTCCATAGATTAGGGGATGTGGGGCAGAATATGAACCAGAAATAGAAACTAATTCTACCGCATAGGTAAAACTTAATCAACAAGGGCACACCCTGTAATGCCAAAAACAGATTCAAGACGTTTAACCAGAATGCAATGATCTGCTGTGTCAAATGCAGCAGAGAGGTCAAACAGGACAAGCTTTCATAGAAACGACATTGCAAACAAACTGGAGATATCACTTACTATTATTTTGCATTTCTTTGAACTAGGCTCATCATTATCACCATCAATACTGTATTCCATCATGCCTTCTATTTCCATTTCTTCCAAGATTGCCACCGTTGTCCAATTAGCATAATGCGATGGAGGAAAAATGTCAGACCTCAGGCTATCACCAATGTACATAACCTATAAAATCAAAGACAACAAAAACAGAAATATTAAAACAAAATATTGAGATAAATTGTAACTCAAGATATGCTTTGTTATAATACTGTATATTCTCTTTTCTACAGTTGTTTGTATTCTCAATAAAACACAAATAAATCAACTACAATTCTATAGCGAATTTGATTTTACACTGAAGTTTTTATTCGCAAACTGCACATTTCACATATCAACACATTACTATACATCATTTTGATATCAATATGCCATATATTTGCATTTTAATAAAAAAAGGAATATTGTATATTTGAAATTGTAGAACCCCTATTAAGGGGACACCTTCGGGACCAATATTGTGTGCCCTTAAGGGGTTTTAATTTAGAATAGGGGTGTCCCAAAGAAGGGTTCTACTATATTTCTTCTTAAAATTTGAGTTTATAAAACACAATGGTTTAATTTATATTTTGGTTTTTAGTGTAACTTGTCACAATAACTACAGTACATATAAGGAAGCCCAATCCTTCGTTCACACCATTATACCTCGTCAATGCTGTTTAAAATCACATTCTCAATTCAGTAAGTTAGTTATATAATAAATAAACAATGAAACAAATAAATAAATAAAGTAATATTGAAAAAACAATTCTAATTACTGTACTTCAGACCTTTTATAATTAGACGATATAATTATTTTGAAGACACTGTAAAAACACATCACCATTATCATTGGGTTTTGTCAGATATGATTTATTAAATGATTATGCGATGCAAGGGAGGGGAAACAGGGATGTTTTTCCCACTAGAACTGATTTCCACACCCCCTTCCTCCTTGAACCACATCTCCCACCCCCCCACTCTTGAACCATGATGCTGAGAAAAAAAATATATTTTTAAGTACTGTAGTTAAAAATCACCTCACACTGTACCACAGCTCTCCCTTACACTTCCACATCAGCCCTCCATTAGTACCCTGTTGTACATTACCTTAGCATTGGTCTTGCCTGTTGCTTTATAAATAAGTTTCATAAACTCATGAACATTTCCTTGTGAATAAAACTTTCCGGGTTCAAGGTCATTTACAATAGTATCTACTTCACAGTTGTCCTCTGTAAGATAAAAAAAAAAAAAATGAAGCCCTGTCCAGACTATCAAATTTTATTTAACAATTAAACATGTGACATGCCTAAATATGGTCATAATGACATCACATGACCATACAAGGCACATCATGACTATATATGGGCATATCAAAAATAATAACAACAATAATAATGTCAACAACAATAAAGATTACATAAATTAACATAAATTAGTAAAATAAATGGTAACACTGCACCAAGCCAATATCTACAAACTTTGAATCTTATATTTTGTGTATGGAGGAAGGTGGAAATAGTTTTCAACCATATGTACTGTAGTATAGAGTGTTAAAAACCTAGGGACCTGCAATTTACATAATGCTATATAAATACTATTATTATAATTATTTTGATTCATCGTCATAGTAATGATCATCATTATCATTAGTAGTCACTTTTAAGGAGTGTTGTTTAATATTATGTTGCCAGTACAGCGGAAATGGCAATACAGTGAAAGTCAGTTGTCATTTTTAAATGACAACTGACTTTCACTGTAAAAAAAAGTACTTTGTTATGTTTTCTATCCATGTTTATGGAAAAAGGGGGAAATACCTTCTGAAATATTTTTCAACGATATGTACTGTTACTTTAGTGTAAAAAAACCTAATTACATAATGCTATACAAATACCATATTTTTATTATTATTATAATTATTATTATTATTATTATTATATTTTTCAACGATATGTACTGTTACTTTAATGTAAAAAAACAATTACATAATGCTATATAAAAACCATATTTGTATTATTATTATAATTTTTATATATTATTATTATTATTATTATTATTATTATTATTATTATTATTCACCGTCATAGTAATGATCATCTTCATTATTATCATCATTCAGAAGTAGTCATTTATAAGGGTTGTTGTTGAATTATGTCGCAAATACAGCGGAAATGGTACTGCAGTGAAAATCATTCAAGTACTTTGTTTGTTTTCTATCCATGAATAACTTTTCTCTTCAGGATGTAGAATACATGACAAGCACCACTGAAAGACCACAATAGACTGCCAAAATTGGCTTTTTAGGTTAAACCCAAATTAAATATTACTAAACACACTGTGACGTGTTGTGAAAGTGAAAAGTATTGACTTTCATAAACAGGAATTCTGAAGATATAACGAAAGCTTGGACGGTATTTGCAGTGTATTATCAAATAAAATCATTTTTCAGACAGTATATAGTGTACCATAGGTAAGTTTATACTTAGAAAGTACAAATTAAACAGTATGTTTGCCTGAACCTGTCTATTTTGTAATGAGCCCAAAATTTAAGGTGTGTTTGAGTACAAACGAAACCAGGTCCCAAGTGGGATATTTTGCTGTGCATAGTTATACCTATCGATACTGACTTATGAGAGATAATTGATAACAGCCTGGGCGTAGTAAAAAACATGAAAATAAGTAAATTTGATGGAGAATCTTTTCCCCCTGGCTTGCGGGAAAATTGAGACCACCAAAGAAAACCAGACAGGTGAAAACATTATGAGCCTTACCTATGAATTAAAGAACTTATACCACTAAATTTTATGATGATCCATTGCTTAGTTTTTGTGTAATCATGCAAACAAACAGCAGTGAGTAAATAACCTCTTTGGCGGAGGAAATGACAGCAGCAGAACACAACAAGTTTTACAGCAAAATAGATTCTCATTTGTCACTTAGTTGTTGAAACAAGGTTAAACAAATTTTAACACATAAAAAAGTACAAAAAAGCAGTTATGCTGTAGTGTAATGGTTATTTTGTGGCTTTGAAATTTAACTTCCGGGTAATTCAAACCAGGAAGAACAATATTAATTCATTTTATTGCCATGTCTACCATGTTATTCTTTTTTTTTTTTCATTTCAGGAAGTAAATATCTTCTTATGACGATCACATGAATAGTTAAGTTTAAGTAAAAACAAGTACTGTACCACTATTAGCATAGGATGTATTGCAGTGTCTGAGAGGTACAATTTGAGCTTTAAGCTTTGACATGCATGTGCTTGCAGACTATGTTTTTCAAAACTTACTCTACTTGTATTTATATTGTACATTATATCATTTGCTTGTTGGTGCTGTGAGATTTAACTATGTCAGTGAGGAATCAACCGGTTATCTGTGTGAGGGAGGGCAGTCCTCCTATCACCTACAATGCAATGTTGTAAAAATACCATATTTGTATTATTATTATAATTATTATTATGTATTATTATTATTATTATTATTATTCACCGTCATAGTAATGATCATCTTCATTATCATCATCATTCAGTAGTAGTCATTTATAAGGGTTGTTGTTGAATTATGTCGCAAATACAGCGGAAATGGTACTGCAGTGAAAATCATTCAAGTACTTTGTTTGTTTTCTATCCATGAATAACTTTTCTGTTCAGGATGTAGAATACATGACAAGCACCACTGACAGACCACAATAGACTTCCAAAATTTGCTTTTTAGGTTAAACCCAAATTAAATATTACTAAACACACTGTGACGTGTTGTGAAAGTGAAAAGTATTGACTTTCATATACAGGAATTCTGAAGATATAACGAAAGCTTGGACGGTATTTGCAGTGGATTATCAAATAAAATCATTTTTCAGACAGTATATAGTGTACCATAGGTAAGTTTTTACTTAGAAAGTACAAATTAAACAGTATGTTTGCCTGAACCTGTCTATTTTGTAATGAGCCCAAAATTTAAGGTGTGTTTGAGTACAAACGAAACCAGGTCCCAAGTGGGATATTTTGCTGTGCATAGTTATACCTATCGATACTGACTTATGGGAGATAATTGATAACAGCCTGGGCATAGTAAAAAACATGAAAATAAGTAAATTTGCTGGAGAATCTTTTCCCCCCGGCTTGCGGGAAAATTGAGACCACCAAAGAAAACCAGACAGGTGGAAACATTATGAGCCTTACCTATGAATTAAAGGACTTTATAGTTTATAAATCTTTATAGTGGAAAGTTACATAAATGTTTTTATTGTACTATTGTTTAAAAGTTCCCACACAAATAAAATATATGAGTGGTACTGGGTTCAAAGTTTCCTTGCATCCCCAATATAAAAAAAATTATTAAGGTAATATTTTTATATTAAAAGCATTCATGTAGTATAAACCAATATATAAGTTATAATTTGAATTTATTAATACTATTAAGTTAATAGTATTAATTCAACATTATAGAAAATATCAAAAGATAAAAATTGGAGCTGTCACTCCATTTTGACTTTGTGCACCTCCTTCCTGTGCATGAATACCGAGAAAGGCCGGTACAGAAGCTGTGTATAGGCGATTCCCTAAACTTACTTTATAGAAGAAAAAAAAATCCATTACCTTGACATTAGACATTTTTTTCAAAAATTTAATCTTCTCTTATACCACTAAATTTTATGATGATCCATTGCTTAGTTTATGTGTAATCATGCTAACAAACAGCAGTGAGTACATAACCTCTTTGGCTGAGGTAATGACAGCAGCAGAACACAACAAGTTTTACAGCAAAATAGATTCTCATTTGTCACTTAGTTGTTGAAACAAGGTTTAAAACAAATTTTAACACATAAAAAAGTACAAAAAAGCAGTTATGCTGTAGTGTAATGGTTATTTTGTGGCTTTGAAATTTAACTTCCGGGTAATTCAAACCAGGAAGAACAATATTAATTCATTTTATTGCCATGTCTACCATGTTATTCTTTTTTTTTTTTCATTTCAGGAAGTAAATATCTTCTTATGACGATCACATGAATAGTTAAGTTTAAGTAAAAACAAGTACTGTACCACTATTAGCATAGGATGTATTGCAGTGTCTGAGAGGTACAATTTGAGCTTTAAGCTTTGACATGCATGTGCTTGCAGACTATGTTTTTCAAAACTTACTCTACTTGTATTTATATTGTACATTATATCATTTGCTTGTTGGTGCTGTGAGATTTAACTATGTCAGTGAGGAATCAACCGGTTATCTGTGTGAGGGAGGGCAGTCCTCCTATCACCTACAATGCAATGTTGTAAATCTTAGAGATGGAGAGACAGTGTACTGGTATCGCACGACTAAATACGAGGAAACGACAGCTATTTACGGAGATCAGAGACTCCTGACAGATGGATTACTGCAAGAGGAACAATCAGCGTACACTATAGGCAAATATCCAAATGAAATTGAAATATCTGCGAATACAAACAGCGGCCGATTCCTCCATTTGAACATGTACACATGTAGAGTACTAAATGCAAGCGGAGAGATTCTTCTAAGCTCTTCTGGATTGTACTTGAAAGTTTTATTCCCGCCAGCAACGCCGGAGTGCTTGCAAAAGCCCTTATCGCCCTCCATAGGCTCTGAAATTTTTTTAACGTGTCGGAGTAATCCCGGTAACCCTCCTATTAGCTTGCAATGGACAGGAAGCAGTACTTTAGCGAGCCTCACTGGAAGGGATACTACAAGTACCATGCTACTGAATTACAGCTTTATATTACAAGAGGAAGACTATAAAGTAAATTTCAATTGTACTGCAACATGGAAGAATTGTGATAAGGGTTTGGACATGAAAACTTGCACCATCAAAATTCATGACAATGAAAGCTATGTTGTGTTAATTGCTTGCTTAAGTGCCGGTCTATTCATTATTATTATTATTATTTTAGTTGTGATTATTTTCCTGTGGAAGAAATATTTATTAACAACAGGTTTCAGCCCTACATCTGCTGAGCCATTCACGTCAGTAAACACGGTGAGTGCGACGATAGAGACTAAAAAAAATCCCAAAAGTCAGCCAATCACAGGGAGGGATATTCTGCCTAGTGACATGGACTATATGAGCATCGGATATCGTCAAGATTCTGAATATTGTACACTTCAGAATATTAAAAATGAATGTGACTCTAATAACACAGTGAAGGCAGAACAACCAACCAATACACAGCAGCCCCAGGCAAACATCGACAAAACATAAAATGTACAGCTGTATGTATGTAGTAGGATTCACATAGCGCATAATACCGAGGTCTGAGTAAGTCGCTTGAAGAGTGACAGTAGTGGTAAAAACTATTTTTTAAATTACTTGTATTTATCTAGCATATTGAATATTGAATGTAAATATGAATATAAAATGTGTACATGTTTACTTTTTACAAAATAAATAAACAAATCATTGTCATAATATTAATAATTGAAAAACTTTTTAACATATAATAATAATAATAATAATCAAATGTTGGCAGAAACAGTGCTAGAATAAAGGAACTGATGTAAAAAATGTATTTAGCATAGCAGCCCAACAACAAGAGGTTAAATAATTTCTTATATATAAGTACTAAAAACTGTGACCTCTTGCTATTGTTATACCGCTAGACCATAGAGGCCTGTTGGTATATTGCAAATGTATTTCATTCAAAAGCACTTACTATAATAAATAATAATAATTAAACTGTATATATAGCACCCAATATATCACAGATCCTTCTAGGCGATTTACATGGTGGAAAAATATAGGGGCTTCACAAAGTGGTGAGTGAGACCCACAATAAAGCAAATGAAGTAAAATATTCAATAGGTTAAGTATCATCAATCTAATAGAATCTTTAATACCAAAGTGATGGGCAAGGTAAAATTTTAGAGGGGTGGGGGGTGTTTGGCGCAATATGTTTTCCCATGGTAGATATAATTTACGTTAAGGGAAAATTAACACATTGCTGGCATTGATCATGATATGCACACACTACTGGATGCAAAGCCCTAGGTCACTTCACTAAAGCTATTGATATGATTGGGTGTGGGCTGGGGGGGGGGGGGAAGAACTGGGGAATCAGAACAATTTTCTGGGGGAAGAACTGGGGACGCAGAACAATTTTCTAGGGGTGCTAATGCTCCTTGTAAGATAAGCTTTATTTGATATACTGTATTATTCATGCTTTGGTAAAGGTAATACAACATTTTGAATGGATGTTTAAAGTTATAAATATTTGACCAGTATTGAAATATACTTAATGGTGCAAAGGTGGAAGTAGTATACAGTTGTGTTGTGGGATATTGCCAGTTACAAATATTCTGGTTGATTTATCAAAAACAGTAAAGTACAAAAATCAACAAATGAATAAGAATGATTGATTTTCATTGATTTGTGTCGTGTGAAACATGTATGATTCAGTTTGTTACACACGATATGAAACAATCAAAATCATTCGCTTTCATTCACTTACTGATTTTTGTATTTTACTGTTTTTTTTGGTCTATGTAACAGGTTCATTTAGTCGCCATTGACAGCTGTTTTCAAGCGATGGCAGCATCGATAAATTCTAAGAACCTCTACAAATTAGCCAATCATATGCAGTGACAATCTGCCTAGTAACCAGGACGACAGTCCTACCTTTTACACAAAACCCGAAAATTACCAACTCACTAATTGCTATGGTTTTATGAGTATAATGTAATGATACTTGGATAAAGTAAAGTTTTAATTTATTTTTTTAATAGCATAATTATTCCCTTACCTGAATCAGAGGGTCTTTGTTTTTTTGGGTTTTTTTAGAAAGGGGGCGGGGAAGGGAAGGGTTGGCTACTGCAACTACATGTAGATACATAAAACGTTATTTTTTCTTGTATAGCAGACAATAGCCCATTAATGGCTTTTGGAGCAAATAAGTATTGAATTGATTTTAATTAAATTAACTTGGAAAAAGCTGTACTTGAATATCATTTGCTTGTTTGTGCCATCAGATTTAACTCTGTTAGTGAGGAATCAACCGGTTATCTAAGTGAGAGAGGGCAGTCCTCCTATCACCTACGATGCGATGTTGTATCTAAGAGATGGAAAGACAGTGTACTGGTATTGTACGACAAATAATATTGTACACTTCAGAATATAAAAATTGAATGCGACTCCAATAACTGTACAGTGCAGACAGAACCCCAAACCAATACACAGCAGCCCCAGACAAACATTGCCAAACGTAAAATGTATGCATGTAGTGGGATTCACATAGCGTATAATACCGAGGTCTGAGTGAACCGAAAGAAAAAAAAAAGGGAAAAACTGAAGCAAGTATCCTAAGCTAACCAATTAACCAATGAGTACAACACAAGCAGAGGGACCAGAATCACTGAACTGTTCTGTAATTTAAAAAAAAAACAGAAGTAGTTGGCAGGCTCATAATGCACAGGTGAAAAAATGAAACTGGCATTTGACACACCTATTTGACATGCTCCCATGGTTCCATTTGAGCATAATGCAAGGCCCCCAAGTCATTTCTTGGAAGAAACATTTAAATGAGCTTTCGTCACATCTAATTTTGTTTTGATGCTCTTGGGAATACCGATCAACACTGACTTCCGTGCAGGGGTTGAGCCAGAACAACGAAATAGGCCGTCCAAAATGGAAGGCAGTGGGCATGGCACTGAGCCGATGTGTGGGCCACACCCATCTGTTGGAAGCCCCACCGAATATTGGTACGAAAACAACGTACATTCAATCAAAAAATGTTGTTTTTATCAAACGTAAATATGATTTAGCTTTAGTTTAATGTGACAATTGATAGATTAGAAGAATATAAAGAATTTGCTAGACTAGGCCCATTTAGGGCCGAGTTGATTTGGACAAGCCGTCCAAGCTGTCACGGTAAAAGTGGCCGTCCTAAACAATTGTAGGCCGTCCAAAAGACGGCCGGACAGCTCGCTGGATAAGCCTATGCTTCCGTGGGACAAATGATAATAAAGGGGCTATATAAGTACAGTAGTACCACATACAGATTTAATTTAATTTGCGATGGTTGTTTTCCAGGCGATTCTTGCTTAGAGTGCGGGAGGCAGACAAAATAATGTATATTTAAACTCACAATGTATTACTATATCATTTTACTGTATGTATTTAAGTGTTATATTAATAATATATTTTTTGGCTATTATTATATTGTAACCATTTCACTTGAAGAGTGACAGTAGTGGTGAAAACTACTTTTTAAATTACTTGCATTATCTAATTGTATGTTTACTTTTTACAAAATAAATAAACCATGATCAGCAAATCATTATCATAATATTAATAATTGATTCATTTTATATAAATATAATAAAAAATACATTTTAACATATAATAATCAAATGTTGGCTAGACCGGAGATATAATTTAAGATAAGAGACAATTACACATTGCTGGTAATGATCAAGATACCTGATAAGCAAAGCCCTGCGTCAACTAAACTAAAGCTATTGATATAATTGGGTGTAGGGTGGGGGAACTGGGGAGGCAGAGCAATTTTCTAAGGGTGCTAATGCTCCTTATAAGACAAGTTTTTTTTTTTTTATATATAATATTCACTCTTTGATAAAGGTAATATTTTGAATGGATGTCTAAAGTTATAAATATTTGACCAGTATTAAAATATATTTAATGGTGCAAAGGTGGAAGCAGAATGCAGTGTTGTGGGATATTGCCAGTCACAAATATTCTGGTTCATTTATTAAAAACAGTAAAATATAAAAATCAACAAGTGATTAAGAACAATTGATTTTCACTGTTTTGTGTCGTATGAAACATGATGATTCAGTTTATGTTTCACATGACACAAAACAATGTAAAACAATCAATCGTTATTTTTGTCGGATGAAACATGATGATTTAGTATGAAACATGATGACATCAAGCGATGGCAGCGCCCAAAAATTCTAAGAACCTCCAGGTCATCGGCCGACACGATGATTAGTTGATCCATTCAGCCGACACGGTGAGTGCCCAGTTTTAGAACCACGTTATTTTGAAT